TCTTTAAGAGTTTTTCATACTTCATACAGTTCACCTTTATGAGAGCTCTGCCTGCTGAAATAATGCATCTCCAGTGAAGCATTATTTATTAGGAAGCTTGATTTTTCACAGTCTGAAAGTTTGGGCCTTTCTGTTAGTTGCGTGTTTTTTTTTTTTTTTTTTTTCCCCTCTCCCCCTCCTTCTCTTTCCTCCCCTTTCTCTGAGGCAAGCTCTTCTTGCCTCAGAGAAAAGTATACCCTCATACAGAGTAGCTTGATAGGTAAAAATATGAATAAATAAAAGTGTTCTGAATTCTTCGGATGAGCATACATACCAGCTCTGGAAGATTTATCTATACATAAACCGCTGAGGGGGCAGGGAAAGAACTGTAGGATCAACTTTTGGACTTTTGGATAACAAATTTCCAAAAAATATTTTGTATGAATCTTACATATGTGCATACAGAGAAGTTTTGAGTTTTTTCATTTGTTTGGAATATTATCAGCAACTTATCCCTTTTCCATCTGCTAAAGTTTGGTTCTAAGCTTTTCCTCCCATATACCTACTAAATCAGTATAGTTGCAAGAATAGGACAGGCCTTCGTATATCACCAACTACTTCCATAAACAAATTTCTGTACTAGTTGATGGTGTGTAGTGATCCAGAGCATATTACTTAACTTTTCCAACATTCATTGGACCAAAGATGAATGACCATACACTAGAATGAGTGTATGTGATTTCAGCTAATATCTTGGGTGATTTTGTCCTGACCCAGAGAATTAGGCAAACAAGTCTGTGGGACAAGCATCAAACTATCACACGTGTTTCAAAAACGTGTTAAGATATTGCTCTAGGGAGAAGCCCTCAACTATTTTATCCAAAGGGACAAATCATATTCCACAAATAATTCCATCAAAAATCAATTAACTACTCATGTTAGTAAGACGAGCTCTGTTTGATGCCACTTTATTATTTTTATTGCTGTGCAACTTGTTCCAAGTTTCTTGTTGCTGGCTTCTGACTTGGTCAGACTTACCCTCCCAGGATTGATCCTGAAAGGTGCTGAACTTCCAGCAATATCAGATGGAGGTTGTGGTTAATCAGGCCCTCTGAATGAGGAAACTAAGACAAACTATGACAAACCAGGTATACAATCCCAGCATCATAAAACATGAAACAAATGATTCCCCAGTGTTTTCCTGTAGACCACATGTTTTTAAAAATTGAAAAGAGTTATCTCTCACTTTTCATGCATAATCCACTATATTCATTATTTAAAATATCCCATAAAGAAATTAAATAAGAATTAAAAGTCTGGGACCATCATATCCATCACAATGGTACAAATTGATGCAAAATTCCAAAAGTAATTTAGTTTTGTACTTAAAGGCAGTGGCCTTTTTCCACTTTGTTTCGCACCGAATAAGGAAAATATAATGCTGCAGAAGACTTTCAAAATATGTCTTTTCTCCCTCCAAAAAAAAGGATGGATGATAGAGCTACACACACCTTTTAATCTTCTGCTTAGTGTTTTTTACACATATATTCCCTGGCAAAAACCCCAGGGTCTTAAGTCTCTCCTCCCCTTCTCTCAGCCCCTTTCCTGCCATCTCCCTTGCTATAACTCAACTAACCCAACAGAACCAGTCAGTTTTAAATTTCAGTTGGGACCCCAGTGACCTGTTAATGAATCTACAGAGAGGAGAAAAACTCACAGTGTTGAGTTATGCCTGGTGTTGCTAGCTGACTTGGAGTCAGAAATGCTTGAAGCGTTAACGTAATTGCAAGAATGTGAAAAATGAAGCGTTGGGCTCCTGAGCAAAGCGAAAGGTCAAAGCAAGCCCCACACAAAACAAGTCTCTGGAAGATGGCCTCATTAGACCGTTAAATCAGCTTCTCCTTTTTTCTCTTTTGTAAGATGTTTAGAGTGTTTTATTTTTATTATTGGATATGTTTAACTCTTTCTTTTTCCAGGGCAGGGAGAAGCTGATCAGATCCACTACATAATTGCTAATCTCTAAAACAGTATTATGCAGCATTGATCTGCATTTGTGGATCTGAACTAGGATAAAGTCAATAAAGGCTTGGTAGATTACAGGTCACTAGTACTTAGGTTCGTTAGATGATCAATATGTTGCATAGCTTAGTTTTCTGTTGAACACGTGAGGTGACATGTTAAGAACAACACAGACACTCACCACTAATAAAATTAGGATAATCTTTCAACATTTAGTGCCTGAAGGCCCTTTCCTTAACTCTTTCAATGCCAGTATGTTTCTAATCATTTTGAAACTTTGACTAGATTAACCTTTTTGATACCAATGGGACAGTCATCATATGCTGTCATGGAGAACATTTCCTCCACAAACAAACAAAAAATCCTGTGCTATTTTATTTATTTGTTTTAAAATTTTTATTAAAAGAATCACAGACAGGTTTTTAAAAGAGAGGTAAAAAAGACCAGCTGCAGTTTGAATTAATCTCTACTGCCACCAGGCCTCAGCAGAAAAGCCCATAGGTTGCTAATGTAACCTAAGACTCTAATGAGCTCCTGTTCTCAAGAAATCCTTATGGGTAAAGTGGAATACTTGAAGTATCATCTGAAGAACGTATTAAAATTGCAAAGGAACAAAGCTGACCAAAATAAGTAACTAAGCCAGATTGGGTCGAGAGCACATTTTCGTAATCTTAGAATTGGTTGGAACCAAATTGCTGCCATTTCAGAATTATAAAGTAAATCCCGCCCCTCAAGAAAGTGTTAGAAGAAATGCACAGATCTGTACAAGGCCTCCCTCTTTTTAATCTTTCCCAGGGATGAGAGATGGAGAGCAATCCAATGGGAATTTTGTCTGTACTGTACGATCGTACATCTTTCGGCTGCCAGCAGCTGAGCGGAACACTGATTTGCCACTGGACGACTGCCTCCTTTTAGAAAGCTGGACTGGGCACAAAGGGAAGCATATTAGCTATGTTTTACCCTGCTAGATCAGGCACCACTCTAGCGACTAATTCAGCCCTTCAGCAATTGGTTATCTTCTGCAGAAATAAGCACAACACGCTCGTTTACACCATATACATTGCCAAAAACCCCAGCCTCTAATGAAGAGTGCGTGCAGTTATAGAGTCACCAACTACTTTTTCTTTCATTTAGGAATACTTCTCGAGTTTCCTAATTTATATGACTGGGATCAGAGATTGCATAGCGAAATACAAGATACCTGGGTGTCAGTGCAAGGGATTTCCCTATATCAAACACGGCTTGACGAAAAACAACTTCCAACTTACATGGGGTTGTTGGAACAGAGCAGAGATACAGGTGTAAGGAGATGTCTTATCTAGGGGTGGGTGAACACATTGTGGCAGATGACTCAGTGGAATCACTTTTCTAGTATGTAAACAACCTTCTACATCGAGCTTCTTAGCTACAACCTAAAAAGTAAACAGTTTTTCAACAGTCAAGTCTATGGCCAACTCTTCGGGTAACACAGTTTTGCTGTTAGCCCACCGTTTCAGTAGCCACTGAAGCTATGATAGTTTATTCTGGGCCTCATACAGTTCCAGTTCAACCACATAGGGAAAAAAAAAGCCCTGAATGACTCATATTGAAATTGGATCACACCCTATGTCATGGCTGCTTTCTATCAGCAATAAGATTACAAACGTATAAACAATTCATACAAACAGGAGACAAACCCAAACCAATGTACCAGCAAGGAACTCTGCAAGTTCCTAGAATTCCAGTGCATACAACAGACACCAGATCATGAGAGGGATGTGGGGACCTACCTGCATGACCAACAGTGGGCCACATGAAAGTCATGTATCTACTTAAGCATGGCAAATATCATGGTGAGGTCAGCAGTGCAGAGCTAATGACAGAGGACGTACCTTACCAAAGCAATAGCCCTAGCTGCAGCAGAGGCTGCTGCCTCTCCCCGTTTTTGGGGCTCTGTGTGGTCTGTTCAATGACAGATGTGTCAACAGGCTACATTTGCTGCGTGTAACCCCAAAGTGGGAGAGCAGCAGTGCCCAAACACCACAGGTGCACGAGAGAAAGGAAGCACATGTAAGATGTTAAAAAGGTAATGCCATAGTTGCTAGGCAAGACTTGGAATAAAAGAGAGCAAAAAGAAATACTGAAGACCACCTTGAATTATGGTCTTAGAAACCCAATATCGGGTCAGGTTCCGAGAACGACAGCAGACCATCCTTACCCCAGCTGTTAGCACCTGAGGCCCAAATCTCATGGAGCTGTACTTTCTGCAGCCACTCACATTGGTGACAAGTGAGCATTTTACACTATCATCGCAAAGTGACAGCCACAGACACTCACCCTGCCTGGATGCAGGTGACTACACATAAGGTGAAAAACAGTAAGAAACAAAACAAAACAAATCTCTAAAATAATTAAACCTCCTAAACCCTGGAGATGGCTTCACTGTACAGACCCAAGAGCTGTTTTGCAGTTCAGGTACAACTCTAGCATTCAGAATTAAGATTTTCAGAAGCAAAAAATGAGTTTGTACAAGCAAACATTGCAAGAAACATTTTTTGATAGTTTTTTTTTTTTTATCTTCTTGATATTATTTAGTAGCTTTATAACTTCTTAGAGGAGAACTTTCCCAGCTAAAATTACAGGTTAAATTCTCTGTCTACTACCCAGCTCAAACAACTGCATCACAGCTGGAGAGTATGTCTGTCATTATATTTACTTACACCACACAAAAATAAACTGTAGATAACCAAATTTGTAAAGGAATTGGCAGAACTAATCAATTGTTATTACAAAGCTTGTTTGAAGATTAGATATTTCTCTTTGAAATAATAATAAAATGCAGCTAAGTGGGTTAAGAAAAGGAAATACTGTCTCCCTAAGTTACAGCTGATTACCCTGCAAGTCTGCCACTCTGTGTTTACTCAAAGGCAGATGTACTGATATCATTAAAAAAAAAAAAAAAAAAGCTGGAGTTATTTTAGTCATGCCTACTTTGCACAGGGAAAAAAAGGTTGACCTTTTACCTTGCTCGCTGCTGTTGTCTCCGCTCTGGGAAGCGTGGCCCCCGCTGGAGGGCCCCGGGGTGCCTGCCGAGTGCGTGGACGTTGCATCATCGTGGTCTCGCCAAGATGAGGGATTCTGGTGTCAGAGTGCCAAGGAATTTTTTCCACAGTTCCCATTCCAATAGCAAATGAAGAACAGAAAGAAAACCAGGAGAAGAGGGGAGGGAGGGGGGGAAAAGTATACACATTAGCATTTGTGAAACGTGCCAAACGCTGATACTGTTTGCACAGCGTAATAATTCCTCAGCAGTGAGGAGCAGAGGAGGAACTAAAATTTACTTGTTAAAAGAAAAGACAAGTCTATAAAACAAAAACGACAAAAAGCTTTCCAAAGAGTTAACTAGATTTAATTGTATTAATAGCCCCGCATAAGAACACTTCAGGAAAAAAAAAAAAGAAATATATATATATATACATACACACACATATAAAAAGTTTCTTAATGAGATAATGAGGGGTAGGGAGGGAGGGGAGCATCCACTAACCCACACAGGTTAGTGCAGCCCTAGCTGTTCACACCAGGATCAGGGTAATCAGCACCCATAGCTCTCCTGCTGCTGGCTTTGCCCTGGCCCGTCAGAGGTAGAAGGAAGGAAAGGGACACAGTTTTGGCAAGAAATGAGAGGGAGAAAAGCCAGGGAGAGGAGTGTGACCTCACACCCTCTCTCTGCCACCGCTATGAATGCTGGAAAAACTTCAAGCAAATAGAAAGTCGTGGGGGGAAAAGCAAACTTCCTCGGAAACATAGTGTATACGCCAAACAAGATGCTTCCTCCCCCCCACCTTGATATGACACATTTCAAAAGACTTTCTAGATGCATCAGTCTAACAGTTCGCTTACAAGTATTGTCAAGAATAACCACCAGGTGATTATATAAAATAACATGTATAGTGATTTTTATGTAATCCTTGCTGCATTACTATGCATAAAACATGACAAAAGAGACTGCAGAAGACAGACAGACGAAGTTTGACAAAACTTGGCTAAGCAAGACCTCAACTACTGTACTTCGCTCACATAATTCACGCTAGCTTTCTAATTTATTGAGTATTGGCTTTCCTGGCATGAGGACCTGCTCTTTAAAGGAATAAGTGAAGAAAAAACATTACAGCTTAGTGCTACTTGGTTGAGTGTATTCTCCTCCTGTCCTCCTCCCCTTTCCTGATCATTCCCAATACCCTGCTGTTGCTTAAAGGAAAACAGGAATTCTACTGTACAGGAAGAGCTTTATCAGCACCACATGAAGGCAGGCAAGAGATGGAATTTCCTCTGGCAGAAAAGGAGAGCAAGAACACATGAAACAGATCAGGCGAGGGGCTGGACCTGTGCTACTTGTCACCTGCATGTGGCAATTTAATCGAGCACCTCCCAAGAACTCCAAACAAGCAAAAAAAAAAAAAATCACTTTTATCACTTTTTATGTTTCAGCATGTTTTAAAGTGCACTGTGAAAAGCACTAGGCTATTGAAGCACAAAGGAGGAGGTCCTGAAAGCAGCAGGACAAGTTTAAATAAATTCTTAGGAGAGGCAAGGGAACTGATCCTGACTTCACCTGAACCAGCACAGAGTCGGAGTAAGTTCAGCAAAAATCAACTGATTTGCTCATTGTAAAAGCCAGGGTAAGTGTGATTAGAATCAGGTCCCAGAAATACATCGAAACATCTCCAAGTAATCTCCTAGCACTGATTAGTACCACATGCTCTATGGCAATGTAAACTGGAACTGCCAAATAATGTCTTGCTACAAAACCCAGCAACATAAATCTAGAGGGCTTGACCCAGATCATTCCACACACAAAGGGAAGAGCCTGTGACTTCAAAAGGTTCTGGCTAAAGGCTTAGGTAACCACAGGGAAGAAAAATCCAAATCCCCTTCACCTTACACGAACACACACGTGCACACACACACTTCCACAGCAAGAAAATATGCGTAAATCAAAGATAATATAGGATCTTAAATTCTCCTAATTGATCAGCAAAATTGACATCAGTTACAATAAAAAAACAAGACAAAATACCCCCTCACACTAATCTACTTTTTAAACACAGAATTGCAATAGAGAAAAATAGCGGTATTTGATGTTTTCAAGGTCATTATATTAATTAGGTCTCTAGAATTGCTCTAACTACCATAATTCCCCCCAATTTAATAATAAGCAAAAAATACCATTATTTCACAGAGTCAGATGGAAAGGTGCAGAAAAACAAAGATGAAAAGTCTTGAGAATTCAAGCATCCCAGATGTTATTTAAAAAAGAAAAAGGAGGGGGACAGACTAGGGCTGTAAATAAGGTTAGGAAAAAGTTCAGATGGAAATAAAATACAAAAATGGAGCAAGTTGCTTTACAGCCTGGATTAAAACAGTTGTGCCTATGAGCTTCTCTTTTTATCTCTGAGTTAGGAAGCCACTCAAATAGCTTCAAGCTGAAGGCAAACAGCAGACAGGAGCTCTTCAGCCCTCTGCAGCCTCTTAGCGTCAGCTGTTTGCCGGATGGTAATCAGATAAAGAGCTAGAAGAAATACATGAAAAAGGAAAGAAACAATAGCATAGCATGAGTTTAGCCCTCCAACAACATCAGGCTGGAACCTTCTTTTAGAAAATGTAATAATTGCAACATGTTCACCTAGGCTAAACTTTTCAGGGAACACACTGAGTTATGTTAATTTTATGCACTGCAGGCTCTCTTAAGCCGCTGCTGTTGGAGCTCCTTATCACACATATGAAAATTACAATAATTAACTGGTAACACCTCAGCTATGTTTTAAGGCAAATGTCATCCAAAACCTATCATACAGTATTTCAAAAGCTATACCGGCCTTTATTTTTCAAAAATGTAATGATTTGGAAAGGATCACTGAATAAGACTTCCCGCAGCTGAAAACACTTGCTGTCTCAACCAGACCGAGTTGTTCTTGACCTCAGCTTGTAGACCCAGTTTTAGAAAGACAGACTGTATTGATTGGGAATTCAGTGCATTTATTGTGACACAATTTCCCAAGGAAACAACTTGGCAGCATTTTGTTTAAGGAAAGAAGTAATAAGATGGGGTATTTGCAAGATGCGGCAGTAGAATGCTGGAGGAATTGGAAAAGGAGGAAAACGCTTTAATATTACATGCTTTAATATTATAACAAATGGAAATAACTCCAGGGGTGGAGCTCACAAAAAGCAAACAGACAAACAAAAAGAGATTTTCCTTTGGACAAAGATGACTGTATATATCAGTCAACTTCTGTTTTTTTCCTCTAGACTATTTCAAACTTCGCAGCCCTGAAGAAAAAATTATTGACCAAATGCTGAATAATAAGTAGCAGTCTCATGTATACCTCCGGAAAAACAGGACCCAATGACAGATCTGAACAGTATTTCACTAGAAACACTTAATGAATGTAGTCTAGGTATCTAGAGAGATCCTGATCAAGAATCCGCTGACATTAATGGTAATTTTTCTATTGATTTCAATGAAATTTGTTTTAAGCAATTGCACTGTAAAAAGAAGAAATGTAGACAGCTAAGGAGAATTACACAAACTGTTAGCTTGCCTTCTGCTTGCAAGGTCTAGTTTCTAGAATCCGAGATTGCAGAAACTCATCAAAGAATGTGGACGATGACTGCTAAAATGCAACTGCCTACTTTGTGCTTGAGTATATATGGATACGTATCTATATACACACAAATACAGCTATAACGTATACACACAAGTGTGACCTAAACTACTGCCATGTACCCCAGAAGATAAACAGCACACATGTATCTATTCCCAATAGTTTTAATAATTGGGAGTCAAATATGGTGCTCCTCTTGCTCTTACCTAATTGTGTTAAAGAGCAGTGTTACCAGGAGAAAAGCAGTGAATACTGAGTAGAGCACAATAGAAGGAGATGGAAAATAGATACAAGAAGCTAGGTCTCCAGGGGCAGTATTTTCTATTTGCTGGGCTACAGACTCGCAGCTGATAATGCAAGTTGTAATTAATATAAAAGCAGGAGACAATATGGGGAAAGCTTGTACTAGCAGGGCCACAGGAGATCACTCTGCTGCTATCCACTGTTTCTCATTTACACACACAGCCTTCCCTAGAAAACACAATTTTGCCAGTGTTTTTTCCCTTGAAAGTTGAAAAAAAAATTGATTTAGCACCACCATTGAATTTTGCTAAATCTAGAAAAGAGCAGCCGAAAGGACAAGAGTCTCTTGGTATACAAAGCAAATCTGATGTGTTACACTTTTGTCGATGCTGCAAATCTGGTGGAAACTGTAAGCGATTTTAACTGCTACAGGATTTCTCAGACAGAGATTTTGTAAGGTATATTTGATATAGGATAAGCTAAATGCTAAATTGCATTTCTTACTTTGCATGCCCAGAATTTCCACTGTACAAAGTCTGGCTAACCTGGGGCAGTGTACGGAGTGCCACTAGGGCTGACACTGACTTCACGGTGTTTTTTATGATGAAATTAAAAACACAAATAACCATAAGGAAGTTATAAGTGATTTATAGCTGGGAAGTAAAATCAAAATCAGGTCAATTGATATCCATGTAGGAAAAACAAGCAGGACTGAGCTAACAGACTTTAACTGAAGTTTTAAGCGTATAACTATGGCAGGATCAGGCCCTTACATTTTATCGGGTACAATGGGCAAAATCATATCTCCCGAACGAGCAACTAAAACCTACCTTCTCTCACAAAGAGAAATGTAAGAGCTCTACAACTCACTTGTCTGTGATGATAACTGGACTCAGAGCTCTGCAAGTTGCTCTGGTAAATTAATTTTACAAACCCCAAACTGCGCCGAAAAACTGATGCACTTGGCATTTCCCCGCTCCGCTTTGGGCCAAATCTTGCTCACCTTATTCTTACAAGTAGCCTCTGTAAACATAGGGGAACTACTGACATGACTGTGACCACACAAATGTGTCCTTATACACTGCTGTATATCAAAACACAATGTACTGCCCATACGTATGGGCATGCATGGGTGTGTGCATGTGTTTTATATGCATACGGCTCAAGGTGATACCTTAGAGGATGTTGTGCAGTGTGGCAATAATCAGCTTCTATAAAGAAACTTTC